CTCATATGCTTTTACAGTCACTGAAATGTCTGCATAATGCAGCTGGTAGCTTAATATCCTCATCTGTAATGTGACATATATGGTCGTATCAGGAAGCCATTCCTTAAGCTTCACAGCGCAATAACTCAGGAGCAGAATTCTGTCTTCTTACTTGATGTTCATATGTAATGCCAATAATGAACCTAGCACCACACAGCCATCCATTTAGCTTCGCCTATGGATTGCGCTCAAGGTAAGCTAATTAAAATTCACATCGCCTACAATAGCTGGATAGATTTACTCGTCGACAATATAGTTTCTTAATCACTTAACTCTATCCATTCCCAATTTTCTTTTCTCTCTTCTATTAATACTTCTAGGGCTGATGCAGTGAAGGAGTTTATTGGACCAGATTTCATAAAAATGGTGCGTAATAGTGCTAAGCTAATTGCTCACATGGAGCGTCGAGAAAAATCCACTTTGTCTGAGACCAGTGTTTCTGGGATTTCTAAACTTGATACTATATCTGCCAAGTCCAGTCATCTGAATACCGCGAAGCCCAACTCAGTAGCAACTCAATCGGTGAAGATAGAGTCTACCAATTCGCACTCTATATCTCTTCCAAAGAGAGTACCAAATATCAGGTAAATTTGGGACTAGAAAGATATGACAATTTTCATATCACTTATCGTTTAAATTCACTTATCTTTTGGATTTATCCTTTGGTTCATATGCCATTATTTTTTAAGTAAGCTTCTATGTTTTTATCTTATTTCATACATTTAATGGTGGCAGAATAACTTAATTGTAAAACGGATTCAAAATAACCAAACAAAAAATTTTTAAGGAATTTTGTCTAACTCATGCTGCTACTAAAATAGTTGTTAAATTACCCTGGTGAATCCGTCTATATTTTTTGGCATCCTTAGAGGCACTTAACAGAATTCATTCCAACTCTTTATTATTTATCTAAATTGAAATATATACTTTATTATCCTTTGTGCAATAGAATTCATACATAATACTAATATTATCGAAGATATGAAGTCCAGGATAGTGTCTGGTCACAGTCTCCTTTTGTTGTATAGAAGTTGTTTGACCTTGTTTTC